ACTGACAGGGGACACTGATGATCTGGGCATTGCATTGTGATATACCTAATGACAGGGGACACTGATGATCTGGGCATGGTGTTGTGATATACCTACTGACAGGGGACACTGATTATATCGGTATGGTATTGTGATATACCTACTGACAGGGGACACTGGTGATATGGGCATGGTTTTGTGATATACCTACTGACAGGGGACACTGGTGATCTGGGCATGGCGTTGTGTTGGGGTTTGTACTGTGTGAGGTCGTGATGGGTGTGTAAGTGAAGTGGGGGGTGGGGTGTCCTTTCATGGGAGTTTGCAGTGGGTGTTGGGAGGGTGGGGAGGGAGGGTATGTGTGTGAAGTGTTTTTATGGATGTCAACTTCTTTATTATGAGGTAAAGCTATAGAGATACAAATGGTAGCAAGAACAAAATAATTAGCACTGACACTGTAATAAGTACAGACAGCAATACACAATAAAGCAATAAGTCCCAGGCACTAGGCAGGTGGGTTCCTTGGTTGCAATTCATGGCTGGCTGGTGTCTCCAGATGTCAATGGCTTCTTGCAGTATTCTTTGTCGCCAGTTGTTGTTGGTAGTCAGGACTTTGGTGGCTTCCCACATGATGTGATGATCCTGGTTCTTGAGGATGTGTTCAGAGATGGCAGATTTCAAGTCTAGTTTTTTGACAGAGGACATGTGTTTTTTGAGCTGAGTGTTGACACAATGTCGGTGCTAATTATTTTGTTCTAGCTTCCATTTGTATATCCATTTCACTTCTAAACACCATTCAAAGATGTGATATGTGTGTTTCTTTTGTACAGGTTGAAATGATTCATGGCTGCCATAGTAACAAAACATCAAACACGTACCTTCTTCCACACCGGAGTCCTCAGTCTGGAAGAAATACTGTACCACAAAACATCAAACACGTACCTTCTTCCACACCGGAGTCCTCAGTCTGGAAGAAATACTGTACCACAAAACATCAAACACGTACCTTCTTCCACACGGAGTCCTCAGTCTGGAAGAAATACTGTACCACAAAACATCAAACACGCACCTTCTTCCACACCGGAGTCCCGGGTCTGGAAGAAATACTGTACCACAAAACATCAACACGCATTACCTTCTTCCACACGGAGTCCTCAGTCTGGAAGAAATACTGTACCACAAAACATCAAACACGCACCTTCTTCCACACCGAGTCCTCAGTCTGGAAGAAATACTGTACCACAAAACATCAAACACATACCTTCTTCCACACCGGAGTCCTCAGTCTGGAAGAAATACTGTACCACAAAACATCAAACGTACCTTCTTCCACACGGAGTCCTGGGTCTGGAAGAAATACTGTACCACAAAACATCAAACACGTACCTTCTTCCACACCGGAGTCCTCGGTCTGGAAGAAATACTGTACCACAAAACATCAAACACGTACCTTCTTCCACATTGGAGTCCTCGGTCTGGAAGAAATACTGTACCACAAAACATCAAACACATACCTTCTTCCACACCGGAGTCCTCGGTCTGGAAGAAATACTGTACCACAAAACATCAAACACGTACCTTCTTCCACACCGGAGTCCTCAGTCTGGAAGAAATACTGTACCACAAAACATCAAACACATACCTTCTTCCACACCAGAGTCCTCGGTCTGGAAGAAATACTGTACCACAAAACATCAAACCGTGCCTTCTTCCACACCGAGGTCCTCGGTCTGGAAGAAATACTGTACCACAAAACATCAAACCGCGTGCCTTCTTCCACACCGAGTCCTCGGTCTGGAAGAAATACTGTACCACAAAACATCAAACCATGCCTTCTTCCCATTTGAGTCCTCGGTCTGGAAGAAATACTGTACCACAAAACATCAAACACCTACCTTCTTCCACACCGGAGTCCTCCGTCTGGAAGAAATACTGTACCACAAAACATCAAACACATACCTTCTTCCACACCGGAGTCCTCGGTCTGGAAGAAATACTGTACCACAAAACATCAAACACGTACCTTCTTCCACACCGGAGTCCTCGGTCTGGAAGAAATACTGTACCACAAAACATCAAACACGTACCTTCTTCCACACCGGAGTCCTCGGTCTGGAAGAAATACTGTACCACAAAACATCAAACACGTACCTTCTTCCACATTGGAGTCCTCGGTCTGGAAGAAATACTGTACCACAAAACATCAAACGACACCTTCTTCCACACCGAGTCCTCCGTCTGGAAGAAATACTGTACCACAAAACATCAAACGCATACCTTCTTCCACACCGAGTCCTCGGTCTGGAAGAAATACTGTACCACAAAACATCAACACGCATCTTCTTCCACACCGGAGTCCTCAGTCTGGAAGAAATACTGTACCACAAAACATCAAACATCGTGCCTTCTTCCACACCGAGTCCTCGGTCTGGAAGAAATACTGTACCACAAAACATCAAACACGTATCTTCTTCCACACGGAGTCCTCGGTCTGGAAGAAATACTGTACCACAAAACATCAAACACGCATCTTCTTCCACACGGAGTCCTCGGACTGGAAGAAATACTGTACCACAAAACATCAAACACGCACCTTCTTCCACACACGAGTCCTCAGTCTGGAAGAAATACTGTACCACAAAACATCAAACACGTACCTTCTTCCACACCGGGTCCTCGGTCTGGAAGAAATACTGTACCACAAAACATCAAACACGTATCTTCTTCCACACGAGTCCTCGGTCTGGAAGAAATACTGTACCACAAAACATCAAACCACGCATCTTCTTCCACACCGGAGTCCTCGGTCTGGAAGAAATACTGTACCACAAAACATCAAACCACGTACCTTCTTCCACACCGGAGTCCTCGGTCTGGAAGAAATACTGTACCACAAAACATCAAACGACGCACCTTCTTCCACACCGGAGTCCTCGGTCTGGAAGAAATACTGTACCACAAAACATCAAACACGCACCTTCTTCCACACCGGAGTCCTCGGACTGGAAGAAATACTGTACCACAAAACATCAAACCGCATTACCTTCTTCCACACCGGAGTCCTCGGTCTGGAAGAAATACTGTACCACAAAACATCAAACGACGTACCTTCTTCCACACCGGAGTCCTCGGTCTGGAAGAAATACTGTACCACAAAACATCAAACGTACCTTCTTCCACACCGGAGTCCTCGGTCTGGAAGAAATACTGTACCACAAAACATCAAACACGTACCTTCTTCCACACCGAGTCCTCGGTCTGGAAGAAATACTGTACCACAAAACATCAACACGTACCTTCTTCCACACCGGAGTCCTCGGTCTGGAAGAAATACTGTACCACAAAACATCAAACCGCATCTTCTTCCACACCGGAGTCCTCGGTCTGGAAGAAATACTGTACCACAAAACATCAAACCGCATTACCTTCTTCCACACCGGAGTCCTCGGTCTGGAAGAAATACTGTACCACAAAACATCAAACACGTACCTTCTTCCACACCGGAGTCCTCGGTCTGGAAGAAATACTGTACCACAAAACATCAAACACGTACCTTCTTCCACACCGGAGTCCTCGGTCTGGAAGAAATACTGTACCACAAAACATCAAACACGTACCTTCTTCCACACCGGAGTCCTCGGTCTGGAAGAAATACTGTACCACAAAACATCAAACACGTACCTTCTTCCACACCGGAGTCCTCGGTCTGGAAGAAATACTGTACCACAAAACATCAAACACGTATCTTCTTCCACACCGAGTCCTCGGTCTGGAAGAAATACTGTACCACAAAACATCAAACACCTACCTTCTTCCACACCGGAGTCCTCGGTCTGGAAGAAATACTGTACCACAAAACATCAAACACGTACCTTCTTCCACACCGGAGTCCTCGGTCTGGAAGAAATACTGTACCACAAAACATCAAACACGTACCTTCTTCCACACCGGAGTCCTCGGTCTGGAAGAAATACTGTACCACAAAACATCAAACACGTACCTTCTTCCACACCGGAGTCCTCAGTCTGGAAGAAATACTGTACCACAAAACATCAAACACGTACCTTCTTCCACACCGGAGTCCTCGGTCTGGAAGAAATACTGTACCACAAAACATCAAACACGTACCTTCTTCCACACCGGAGTCCTCGGTCTGGAAGAAATACTGTACCACAAAACATCAACACGTACCTTCTTCCACACCGGAGTCCTCAGTCTGGAAGAAATACTGTACCACAAAACATCAACACGCGTATTCTTCTTCACACGGAGTCCTCGGTCTGGAAGAAATACTGTACCACAAAACATCAAACACGCACCTTCTTCCACACGAGTCCTCAGTCTGGAAGAAATACTGTACCACAAAACATCAAACACGTACCTTCTTCCACACCGGAGTCCTCGGTCTGGAAGAAATACTGTACCACAAAACATCAAACACGTACCTTCTTCCACACCGGAGTCCTCGGTCTGGAAGAAATACTGTACCACAAAACATCAAACACGCACCTTCTTCCACACCGAGTCCTCGGACTGGAAGAAATACTGTACCACAAAACATCAAACACGCATTACCTTCTTCCACACGGAGTCCTCAGTCTGGAAGAAATACTGTACCACAAAACATCAAACACGCACCTTCTTCCACACCGAGTCCTCGGTCTGGAAGAAATACTGTACCACAAAACATCAAACACGTACCTTCTTCCACACCGGAGTCCTCGGTCTGGAAGAAATACTGTACCACAAAACATCAAACACGTACCTTCTTCCACACCGGAGTCCTCGGTCTGGAAGAAATACTGTACCACAAAACATCAAACACGTACCTTCTTCCACACCGGAGTCCTCAGTCTGGAAGAAATACTGTACCACAAAACATCAAACACGTACCTTCTTCCACACCGGAGTCCTCGGTCTGGAAGAAATACTGTACCACAAAACATCAAACACGTACCTTCTTCCACATTGGAGTCCTTGGTCTGGAAGAAATACTGTACCACAAAACATCAAACACGTACCTTCTTCCACACCAGAGTCCTCAGTCCGAGAGAAACTCTCGCTGTTGATGCTCGTCTGGTCGAGAAAGTCCACTTTGACCCCAGATGTGCAGTCCATATACACATCATCGTCAGTGGAGCTCTCTGTCACAGGGTGGTGCAAACGGGCGTATATAGGCATCGCCAACTTCCTTTCAGGAAGGTGCAGCACCTCTGTGCCAGTCCGAACTTCACATTCATATATATCCAGCATCTCATCCAATGCTTCAAGGGACTTGCTGGCCTCTCGCTGTCTGAAAACCAGTGTACAAGCTATACCAGCAGCATAAAAATGTACAAGCTATACCAGCAACATGACACCGTACAAGCTATACCAGCAACATGACACCATACAAACTATACCAGCAACATGACAGTGTACAAGCTATACCAGCAACATCACAGTGTAGAAGCTATACCAGCAACATGACAGTGTACAAGCTATACCAGCAACATGACAGTGTACAAGCTATACCCGCAACATGACAACGTACAAGCTATACCAGCAACATGACAGTGCACAAGCTATGCCAGCAACATGACAACATACAAGCTATACCAGCAACATGACAGTGTACAAGCTATACCAACAAGACAAGCTATACGCTTAAATGCAAGCTTGATTAAATTTAATATTATCCCTGATGACAAAACTTAACGATTCCCTCTGTTCTGTCAATGCCTTCAATCCCCTTTATTAAGTAGATACAGTTTTCTGTCATGTTGAGCGTGTTTCATTTAATGAACTGTGCATCAGTCAACCATGATTGACTCCGGTCCATACAGTTGCTTCTGAAGCCCCAACAAGGATGTGTGACAACACACAACCATGATTGACTCCAGTCCATACAGTTGCTTCTGAAGCCCAGAATCCCCAGAATCCCAAACAAGGATGTGTGACAACACACAACCATGATTCACTCCAGTCCATACAGTAGCTTCTGAAGCCCAGAATCCCCAGAATCCCAAACAAGGATGTGTGACAACACACAACCATGATTCACTCCAGTCCATACAGTAGCTTCTGAAGCCCAGAATCCCCAGAATCCCAAACAAGGATGTGTGACAACACACAACCATGATTCACTCCAGTCCATACAGTAGCTTCTGAAGCCCAGAATCCCCAGAATCCCAAACAAGGATGTGTGACAACACACAACCATCATTTCAATATAGGACAAACTTTATGGATAACAACTTCTTTTTATGGGTGAGTGCGACGTTTCGATACAGATTCTTGTACCGTTGTCACTGACTGAGTCACCGCCCACAGATGTATCCTTGACTGACTAAGTCACCGCCCCCAGATGTATCCTTGACTGACTGACTGACTGAGTCACCGCCCCCAGATGTATCCTTGACTGACTGACTGACTGACTGACTGGACTGACTGACTGAGTCACCGCCCACAGATGTATCCTTGACTGACTGACTGACTGACTGACTGACTGACTGACTCACTGACTGACTGACTGACTGACTGACTGAGTCACCACCCACAGATGTATCCTTTACTGACTGACTGACTGAGTCACCACCCCCAGATGTATCCTTGAACATATATCAACTTGTTGTTAATCATAAACTAATCCATAAGCAAACAGCTCCCTGTCAGTAGTTTTTCGTTTGCGATTTCAAGTAGCCCATGGAAAAGGCATAAAAATGTGCCCTTTAAAAAGAGTGACTCCAAACATCGAATCATTGTCACCCAAACCATTGTTTAGACATCGATGGGTCAGAAAAGCATAAATTTGGAAGAATCTGCTTGCATTTCTCTATGCCGCGGCTAAATGATAATGAAAGATGAAGAGCCATTGGAATGCTTGAAACTGGAACACCCCAGTGCAACGTTGTACAGCAGTTTAACATGCCGGACGTGTCCATTTCAAGATTCCTCTTGCACCGCACTGATGGCCAAACCCGAGTTTACCGGTGACGTAGTGAGCGTTATGTTAGGAACTGTCTCCTTGACGCTGACCGTTTTGGTGGCGGTGGAGTGATGGTTTGGGTGGGATAACGAGTGCTGGATGTTCACCTTTGTTTGTCATTAATGGAAATTTAATGGGTCTCAGATATAGAGACCAAAATTGTTAATCCACCTGTTTCTCCAGCAGAATGGTCCAGGAATGATCCTCAAGCAGGACAATGCCAGACCGTTCGTCGCCAGGGTGGTTCAGCAATTCCTATCGCAGCACAATGTTAACATCATTCCTTTGCCGACTAAATCCCCAGATGTGTCCCTTATCGCACATGTCTGGGAGAGGAGATTGCGACGTTGGCCTAATCCCCCACTCACGCTTCAGGAACTCTTCCAGGTGCTTCCACAGATATGGAATGCCATTCCACAAGACGTCATGTGATGTTTGATTGGCTCTGTATGGTGCAGGTGTCAAACATGCATCAATACTCATGGTGGGCACACACGTTATTGACTGTGTGAATTTCATTTTGACCGTTCTCTCACAGTGACCTTATTAGCATGTGTCTTCCAGAATAGTTTACAATGTGCCATTTGCAATATTATTGTGGAATGATGTCTCATCATGAAAATATCAGTTGTTAATTCACATATCTAAGTTCAAGTCAATCACAATAACTTTGAGTATGTATAGAGATCCTCAAGTTCTCAGTCTGGGAAAGTGTATTTCACAAAGAATAACACACAGCTACTGAGCTGCAGTGTAAAGTCATCCAATTTGCAGATATGGAAACACAAATTATGACATTTCAGAAATTGAACATTACCAACAATGATAATAATTCTAAGAATACTGTATCTAACACTTGATTGCCTTTCCTTGAAGCTTGTTTCTGAATCCACAGATTTAGCTCCAATTAAAATTTAAAAGTCCCAGGATTTGTTTTGTATTTTCTCTCTATTGGTCCTCTAAGCATTATCCGCTGGAGTTATAGCCTCTATCGGAAGCATGGCAAGACTGGTTGACCTCTAATGATGTCGTGATGACACAACTTCTGGTCTATATCTAATCAATTGTGAAAAGGAGTTGCATCCCTGACTGGATATTGTTATGAGTGATGAAACATATTTTGCAAATATAATGTACAGGTTTAGATAGTGATGAGTATACTTGGTGTAATTAGTTTTAGCTTGGGGTGAGGGGCCTTCGCTTGAGCGAGAAATTGTTATGTAACTAGTGGTACAGCTTGGGGTTTGATGAATTCAGCTTTGGTCAGTTAATTGAATGTGGCCAGCCAGCTTATAGGGAGAAGCTCGGTGATTTTGATCTAGTTGGGATGTTTCTTGAGGACGGGATTTTTGCCACTTGTGGTTGTACCTATAATGTGAATTCACAAACTTGCACCCATGTCGGGACTGTGTCAAATATGGAAACTAGGAAATCATGGTGTACAGGAAGGATTTAAAAATGAGGTGACTATGCCATATTGCTTTGCCCATAATATATCTCAGACAATTCCCTCTTCACTTTCCACATTTGTAAATTGGTAACCTGTATCAGCCTTTTGTTAGGATAGAATAAATAAATCTTCCTCAATTAGTCAGATTGTTGTGTGATCCATTTTCATTGTTACGGGTGAATTGGTGTCATATACCCCTTTATCATACCTTCACTCGTAACAATATAACACACTCCTTTCTTAACTGTCTAGCATGTAAAGCATTAGATTCACGTTAAGCAGCAAGAAGTATTTCCTCATGACAGCCAGCCTCAGATCTCACTTGGAATGGTAATTCATCCTCAGTTGTGCCTGTTGTCCAGGCAGTTGTCAGATCTCAGGATGCCAATCTGAGATAAACATCAAATCAGCAGGAGAAATGACTTCCCTATCAACACCTCAGAACGGTGGACTCTTTCCCTGGCTTGTTCCAGCTGTCTTGGTGGAGGTCAACCCCCAGAACTGTGAGCTCTGTCTGGCCTGTTCCAGCTGTCTTGGAGGAGGTCAACCCCCAGAACTGTGAGCTCTGTCTGGCTTGTTCCAGCTGTCTTGGAGGAGGTCAACCCCCAGAACTGTGAGCTCTGTCTGGCTTGTTCCAGCTGTCTTGGAGGAGGTCAACCCCCAGAACTGTGAGCTCTGTCTGGCTTGTTCCAGCTGTCTTGGAGGAGGTCAACCCCCAGAACTGTGAGCTCTGTCTGGCTTGTTCCAGCTGACTTGGAGGATGTCAACCCCCAGAACTGTGAGCTCTGTCTGGCTTGTTCCAGCTGTCTTGGAGGAGGTCAACCCCCAGAACTGTGAGCTCTGTCTGGTTTGTTCCAGCTGTCTTGGAGGATGTCAACACCCCAGAACTGTGAGCTCTGTCTGGCTTGTTCCGGCTGTCTTGGAGGATGTCAACACCCCAGAACTGTGAGCTCTGTCTGGCTTGTTCCGGCTGCCTTGGAGGATGTCAACACCCCAGAACTGTGAGCTCTGTCTGGCTTGTTCCGGCTGCCTTGGAGGATGTCAACACCCCAGAACTGTGAGCTCTGTCTGGCTTGTTCCGGCTGCCTTGGAGGATGTCAACCCCCAGAACTGTGAGCTCTGTCTGGCTTGTTCCGGCTGCCTTGGAGGATGTCAACACCCCAGAACTCTGCGCTCTGTCCGGTTTCTCCCGGCTGTCTAGGAGGATGTCAACCCCAGAACTGTGAGCTCTGTCTGGCCTGTTCCAGCTGTCTTGGAGGAGGTCAACACCCCAGAACTGTGAGCTCTGTCTGGCTTGTTCCGGCTGCCTTGGAGGATGTCAACACCCCAGAACTCTACGCTCTGTCCGGTTTCTCCCGGCTGTCTAGGAGGATGTCAACCCCCAGAACTGTGAGCTCTGTCTGGCCTGTTCCAGCTGTCTAGGAGGATGTCAACCCCCAGAACTGTGAGCTCTGTCTGGCTTGTTCCGGCTGTCTTGGAGGAGGTCAACACCCCAGAACTGTGAGCTCTGTCTGGCTTGTTCCAGCTGACTTGGAGGAGGTCAACACCCCAGAACTGTGAGCTCTGTCTGGCTTGTTCCAGCTGACTTGGAGGAGGTCAACACCCCAGAACTGTGAGCTCTGTCTGGCTTGTTCCAGCTGACTTGGAGGAGGTCAACACCCAGAACTGTGAGCTCTGTCTGGCTTGTTCCAGCTGACTTGGAGGAGGTCAACACCCCAGAACTGTGAGCTCTGTCTGGCTTGTTCCAGCTGTCTTGAGGATGTCAACACCCCAGAACTGTGAGCTCTGTCTGGCTTGTTCCAGCTGTCTTGGAGGAGGTCAACACCCCAGAACTGTGAGCTCTTTCTGGCTTGTTCCAGCTGACTTGGAGGAGGTC